AATTTTTATACTATGAGAGTTTGGTGTTGTCTGGGTTTTTATATTGATCTACCAGGGGTTGTAATCTAGCAGCACATTCATTCATCCACGCTTCATTCATACTGAAAAGGAGGTTGACAAGATTCCCGATGCCGGCCTAAGGGGTTTTTAGGCCGGAGAATAATAGAGTGCAGGAAATATTCTGATATATTGGAATGAAGCCCGGTTGCCATACTGATAGGAAACATCACACTCATTGCTACCTAACATCTCTAGACCCGGATCGGATACCCCCAGCTGGCAACCATAGACTCTCCCTACTCTTCCACCATTCCTCTTTTTATCATCATTCACTTGGATCAATTTACTTAAAGCTTCTTTCTAGTTGAGTAAAAAGCACGAACCCTTTAGCTCTGAGAATTGTTGACAGCCATCCCTCTGTCCTCCTACTTCCGTCAGGTGGTCGTAACTGCTTAACCATATGTCGGCTTCAGATGTTTTTTAAACCACAGGCTTGTGTGGAGTACGGCAATCGAACCCTTAAAAACCAGTCTGGACACCAATCCAATTACTGGCTGTAGTGTGCTTAACTTCAGTGATCTAACAAGAACTGAGCTGGGAACTTCAGAATATTGGATATCAGGATTAATGCTTGATCCACTCTTTTTCTTAATCTCCAGAATAAATATTCCTTGTTCTCCTCATGAATTTAATCTCCAGATTAATTAACATATCAGGATTAAGGATATCACATTCTAAAGTTTTCAGCTCTGGTGTCATGCACTCTCCAACCCACCCCACATAACACCATTTCCACTCATAACCCAACATTCAGGATAAATGTTAAAATACAAGTTAAAAATATTTGTTTACATACCTCAACTCTTAACAGATTCATTGTGTCTGTTGACAGCTGTGTCACTGAAAAATTGGCTATTACATTTAACTCTTAAAATCTGGACAAAAGTGAGGAAATATAAAAATTGCATGTAATTAAAAGTATTTCTAAAATTTATGAGGGTGTGGGGCCTGTATTTTGATTTTGTGTCTATTTACTGTGAATATGTCTTTAGTTTTATTACCTAAATCCACATTAAGACTTTCTGGCACTTCGGTGATTGGAATTTCATCCTATTAAACAATAAGCATTATAATTCACAATAAACATGTAACTGTAAACTTCCTTTACATGTCGCAGAAAATTTTTTAAATTGACTATTGTTCCCCAAACTTTGCCTCTTATAAATACTACGTCATTGTCATAAGGTATATCTAAAATCTTTATGTAATTAGTCATTGTCATAAGGTCTATATAAAATCTTCATGTAATAAAGTTTTATTCTTTGATTTAATATTTAATATAATGACTAAGAAAAATAAAAGGCTTAAAACTTTGTTACAAAAAAAATAACACGTTTTTCCTTATAACCTTACAAAATTTTTTTTGACTATTTTCAATCTTTAAAATTCAACCTGTAAATGAGCTATTTCTGTATGGACGGGTGATGGGGGTTTAGCCACCTCCAATTGCAGCACTGTGGCACAAGGCAGAGACACATTATATACCATATCAATCTCCTCTGAATCACTTTCTCCTATAAAATTAACTAAAAAGAATGGTGGAAATGTCCTATTTAATTTAAGTGTGAGGGTGGCTTGCTTTCATTTCTGGTTTAAATCTTTCAAATTTTTGGCTGCACGCCTAATTATTGATCAAAATTCCTAAAATAAAATAAAATTGAATTTTAATGACCTGTATTGACCTTAACAAATTGAAAATATTTTAACTATGGCTTTATGCATATCAAAAAGAAAAATCAAAAAGAAAAATAGGAACCCAAGGAATCCAGCAGCAGGAACGAATCAAGTGTCTAACCATCTAATAACCTCTAACGACCTCTAATGACCTAAAATGACCTACAAAATAAAAATATTTTTAACTATGGATTTATGCTGATCAAATGAAAGCTAGGAACCCAGGGAATACAATAGTAGCAAAAATCCAGTCATTAACCTTCTAATGACCTCTAATGAACTCTAATGACCTAAAATGGCAGTACAAAATAAAAAATGTTTAAACTATGGCTTTATGCGTATCAAACAAAAGCTAGGAACCCAGGGAATACAGAAGCAGCCAAGAATCTAGTGTTTAACCAATAACACTGGATTCGTTGCTGCTACTGTATTCCTGGGTTCCTACCTTTTCTTTGTCATGCATAAAGCATTATTTAAATCTTTTCTAGTTGTTGAGGTTCTTAAAATTCAATTTGANNNNGCCCCCCCCCCCCCCATATCAAATAGGCCAGACATAGGGCGAATTTTTACATTGGCTTAAAAATTAAAAGGGTTAGATATTTCTTAATTTTAAATCATCATATTAGTAATGAACAAAAACATTACACATTAACATATTCCATTAATTGAATTAGAATATCAAAATAAAAACACTTTTTAATGACTTAGTTATATATATTTAAGGGCTCACCAGTGTCATTTTTAACAAAAAATGTAAATAAGCTAGATGGCTCAAAATCCTAAAATACATTTATTCATTTTCATTGATAATGATAGACTAGGCAGTAATGATGGTTTTGGAAAATAAAGTGATCTTATCTTACTATCCACTTTTAAACTTTTAAATCTATTTATTTTTTGTTTATAAGTACTGTCAACATTATTTTAAATGACCATCCATTTTAAGAAATTTGTCTTGGCTTTCTTTTAAGTTAAATCTCTTTCAAAGTTTTGTAAATAATATCCAGCTGGAAATTATCAAATTTGTTTTGTTAAAAGTCAATTCCAAAAGTATGCACCACCAACAACAAAGAAAATTCACTTAAACAGTTTTCTGAAAAGAACAAAAATGACTTTAATAAAAGTCTATTTTATGAAGGTAAGTTTTCAAATGTAATCGTTCTTACTTTAGTTATCAGTTTAAAGATAAATGCCTGGTGTACTTCTTTAATCTTCGAATTCTCAGTTCTCTCTCTATCCTAAAGATTACAACTTGAGATGTATGTCTTCCAAGTAAACTATATTTCGCTGCGATTGCACTTCCATACAACATTTTGTAATCTTATCAAATGTTAAAAAAACCTTAAATCTCTTGCAAACCGTATTTTTTGTATTAATGTTGTAATAGAAGATTTCAGAAGACATTTTCCTCACATTAATCTATTAAGCATGGGTCGAAGAAATTCAGAAACATTGTGGCAAGTCCTGAATGTTGTCAATATTACCGTACATATGAAGAATTTAGTTCTGATTTAAACAATCTATGCTATTGTAGTATATGAAATGTCCATCTATGAAATTTCTTTTTTGTAAATGTCTTAACAAGTTACTTACTTTATTAGTTTTTACTGCGCATTTCAACAAATGTCTCCTCAAACTGTCCTCATATACTTTCATCCTAACAATATGTATTCAGATAATTCATTATGCCGTACAATGTCTAAAAATAAATCAATATCATATTGTGAACATTTTGTTAACACTTTATAAAAGCTAGACTAGGGAGGAGACCCCTAGACGCCATGAGCCTCTGCTATGCAGACATCGAGCCTCCCAGATTCCCTAGGCAGACCTAGCCTCCACTATGCAGATAAAGCCTCGGCTATGCAGACTGTGCGTGCGCTATGCAGACTGTGCGTGCGCTATGCAGTAAACGTGCCTCCACCATACAGCACAGTTTTTTTAAATCTTGGTTTTTATCAGTGATGAAAACTTTTAACAGTTTCTTTTTGACGTAGTGGCATGGAATTTTACTTAAGATTAGAGTTGTTCATTGATTGTCATGATTACAATCATACAATATATGGACTCAAAGTGATTTACAAGATTTATATTAAAACATTGTTTTTTTTTTATTAATCTTTGATTTAAACAATACCCTTTTTAAAAATGTTAAGATTTAAATAATAAATACCAAGATTTTAGATTTAATTTGAACTTTAGAAAAAGGTATCGCTAAATCAAAGATTATAACAGATGAAATGATATTCAATTCAAATTTTTTTTCTAAATATTTTCCGTTTCTTGTAAAATAAAAAATGTTCAAAGTTTTAGATCCCACTTTATTAGTCATAATTAGGTACTATTTATGATAATTAATAAATACTTCTCATCTTTGAGAAGCCTCTTATGCCACTATGTCTAAAAAATTCCAAAAAATCTTATATTTAAACTTAAAACACAAGTTTAAAAACCATCCTGTATTACACAGGCACATTTTGATGTTGTTGCGCATGCTCATTTATGCAAAGCGGAGGCTTGGTCTGCCCAGCAACTCTGGGAGGCTAGTGTCTGTATAGCGGAGGCTCATGGCGTCCGAGGGTTCCCTCCCTCGCTAAACATTAATTACATGAAGAACAGAAAATAAAAAAATAAAATAAGCATCTAAATTCATATTAAGCATAAATCTAACTTTAGTTTTATGTTTTGATGCAATAAAATGGTTTAATTTTTCTCCTTCCCCCATCCCCTTTTTGTAAAGAAATCTTCAATGTACACATTAGGCTGTTTCAAAAAAAAAGTTGAATAAGGGTTTACCAACTCTTTTCTAAAAATTTAGGTTTGTAGATCCCCCCCCCCCCCCTCCAAAAAATAACACTTTAAAAGTCTATTTCTAATATTTAAACAAAAAACGAATCAGCCAAAAAATACACCTTTATCCTTGTTGCACCAATATCTTTGAACTATATGACAAACTAAACCTGCATGTAGGACATTCAAATCTTTCTCTAGGTATCTTTGAATGGGCCCGCTTTATGTGTCTCTTTAAACTCGCCTAAAATGAATACATTTATAATTGAACCGACTTTTAACGAAACTTAAAGTGTCCTTCCATTCAAGTGGCAAAAGGTTAATTCAATCTTGAATTTGATTTAACTTAAACAAATATTTTTACGTGAGACCTGAAAAGAAAATTGGTTTATAACCAATTCGTCTCCTTTAGTTATTCTGATTAAGGCACATTTAAATTATTGACATGATCGGTCTTCAGAAAAAGAATATACGATATTTTAAATTATACTCAAACTTGTACCTTATTAGCAAAACTAAATGAACATTCATCGCAAATTGTGTTTAGAAGTTCATGTTCTGGATCATCGGGGGTGGATATTTGCTTCACTTTATCCTTTCCAAAAAGACTATGATAACGACCAGAAATATCACAGCCTGTGGGTTCATTAGCTTCTACAGAAATATCACAGCCTGTGGGTTCATTATCTTCTACAGAAATATCACAGCCTGTGGGTTCATTATCTTCTACAGAAATATCACAGCCTGTGGGTTCATTATCTTCTACAGAAATATCACAGCCTGTGGGTTCATTATCTTCTACAGAAATATCAGGGCCTTCTACAGATCTATCACGATCTGAGGATTTATTTGCATCTTCTCCAGGAATATCAGGGTTTAGTGGTTCATTTAAATCTTCTAGATGAATATAACCGCCTGCAGTTTCTTGAGAAATTTCACAGCCTAAAGGTTCATTTAAATCTTCCACTGGAATATCACGGCCTGAGGATTCTAAAACAATATCACGACCCAAGGGTTCATTTACATCTTTATAAGTATCATCATCGCCCAAAGACTTTCCTATATCTCTTATAGTAACACTATTGTCACGACAACATTGTTCCTTTCTTTCGTGGAAGACCTTACATTGTTTACATCTTTTATATTTAGCCATTCTTTCAGTATCACTAAAAAAATATTAGGCATTCCTATAGTATCCATAAAAAGAAATTATCGCAATTTACAAAAGAGTTTAATTCTTAAATATCTTTACATTGAACCAAAACCAAAATACACAAAAATGTAAAAAGAAAATTAAACAAATATCAAACTAATTAATGTTTTAAACAATTTTATCCAACAGTTCAAAATTGTGGTTATCGATAAACAAATTGGGTGCTAATAGATTCATGAACTCAAATCAAATCAGTACTTGTTAATTGTGGATATAGATTGTAGAACCATTCATAAATAATACATCTCCTGTCTCAGAATCTGAACGTCACACCAAGATGCGAGTTTCTCTTGACCTTCTTAGCAGGAATTTTCTAAAAAAATTGTTATTATATTATTTGATGTAATCTAGTTCCATTTACACATTCATTACTTATTATTAAGTTTCTAATTTGTTAACTTACTGAAATAATTACTTTGTTTTAATCCATTTTTTATCTATTTCTCTTTTTGTCCTTTTTATGTTAGTAACAGTTTTATCATTCTTTTCTATATACTTGTAACAAAATAAAGTAGTATTCAAATAGTTCCCTAACCATTGTAAATATATGTGAAATAGTTCAGTGACTGCTCCACCAGTCACTTATATTAACCTCTAACCTTATTTCTCAAAAAATGGGTAATCAAGTGTAAAATCTAGCGTTAAATAAACCTGGTTTAAACCCTAGGTAGAGAAGACAAAAATACAGTGAGTTTTCAGTACTTAAGATACATTCGGAATGACTGTCATTTGGTACATACCTTCGCGGTCCACGCCTCCTCCTCCTCCTCTACTTCATCCTCCTCTGTATCTTCGTATCTCTGTTGCTTCCTTTGCTTCCTTTGCTTCTTCATCTTCTTCTCCTGCTTCTCTTTTGAAATTTGTTCCCGAATCTTGCTCCTATCACAAATCGATGAAATTGAATAATTAAATATTTCAGAATAAATTCACAAAACTAATTTTTGTTTAACTACTTTAACTAGATTGTGTGTAAAATAAACTTTTCATTACAGAAAAAAAGTATAGACAAAATACACAGCTTTACAAAAATGATATATTTCTAGCCAAGGATTATATCTTTTTCCTTTCTCTACTGTAAGGGTAAGAACATTACCCCACTCGCATCTAGAATAGATAAAAATAGGCCAATCGGGATTAAGTTTGAAAATAATCTGAATTAAAAGTAAAACAAATAAAAAATGATTTGTGAAGTATCCCTGTTAAAGGCCTGAACTCTACCAAAGTAGTCCGCTGTCTTGACATCCTAAAATATTGAAATAGTTAAACTAAACCAAGTTTTCTAATATAAACAATATGCATTAAAATGATAATCTAAAATAACTAAATAATATTATTATTTTGAGACACCATAGAAAAAGAAATTTAGGACATACATTTTGATGGAGAAAATGTGACAAATCAATGAAATTACAGATAGAACTAAATTAATTTCAAATAAATACATTCTAAAAACTGTATTCTCAGAAAGCATATTGTTTTTATATAACAATAATGCCAATAACAAAGAATTAAAAATAATTTAAACATTGGTAGCATCTTAATAATTATTTAAGACAAAATGACATTTAAAATACTTTCATGAAAAAAAAATAATTTTACAATAAATAATCAGAAAATAAAGGGCGATATAAAACTCTTGTTCTATAAATCTTATTAACAATCAGCTAGTTTTTAGTTGACAAAGGAATTTAAAAATTCAAGTCTACTAAGTCTTTCAAGTCTTCAAAATCTTTGAGTAGAATACATGAAGGTAGTAATGAATCATGCCAAAATACAACTTTATCCTGCACTAATCTTTTGCAATACGTTTCAAAAAGGGGATATATATTTTAAATAGTGTTCTTTTTAAAATCGCATCCACAGTTTTATCTTCAAATACTCAAGCAAATGTTTTCTCGTTATATCCGTCCCCCATACCAACCCCAAAACCCCCAAAAAATATTAAATGTTACCTTGACATTCTGCTTATAAAAAACATTTTGTTTCATGAACCGCCAGTAAAGCTCCACTTGGGTGCTTGTAGGATAATTCAACTGCGAATCTTCTCCAAATACAGCCAGTGTGAAAAACGGAAGGAGTCCTTAATTTTTATATTTAAATTTTAAAGAAAATACGAAAGATCAAACATAAATTAAAATATCTCATTATTAATTTTTTGTACTTTTTGGTCAAAATCTCACAATGTTTTTTGATGATGAAAAATCTATTGAACTGATTATATCTTTATCCCAAAGAAGTGCTTAAAGGGAGTGATGGGCTATGTATGGTAATTAAACTGAGTATGCAGTGTTGTGGACAAATTCTTAAGGATTAATTTGAGACATATAAAATGTTTGTACGATGTAACATCACTGAGTTTGATTACAAAGTCAAATTTTAAAAACAATTTTTTTTTGGAATACGTTTTCACAGTTGGTTTCTTTTGAATTATCAAATTACGACGACCAAAAATGCGAAGAAAAAAATCTTAAGTCAACTATTTTGTTGTTTGAGGCATGTGGAGAAAATATAAATTTAATGTTATCTTCGAAAATACATAAACTTGATCAATTATTAGTTTCTATAATCTCTCATTTTTCACAAAGATCTTCTGCAAATTTTCTGGAATTTTTAATGAAAAAAAAAAAAAATTTGATGAATATATAGAAATCTGCGAACAAATTCATTGAAAAAAATTCAATATTATGATGAAAAGTAAATGATTGATTCCAACATTGATTTATCAACAAACTTTTTGACGAAATATCTTACTAAACATTTTATCAATTTACAGTATTACTTTAACATTTTTTTTCGTCGCCTAATACGAAACAAGTAACTCCCTTTAATATTTAAAAAAAAGGATAACTTTAGACTGAAATTTCAGAAATTCAAGGAGGGGTAGTTATTTCATGTGAAAAGTTTATACCTTTACGTAGGATTATATCTTAGGATTAACTAATAATTCAATTTATGAAGTGAAAAATGACTGCTATTACTTAATTCCACTCTTACTTTGTAGAAAAAAATTTTACCAAGATATTCAGAGAGGAAATAGTTCATAAGTTCTTTGCATTTGTATGGGTTTTGAGACTCCTCATCATCACTCCCACATACATCTATCCCAGGTATTATATTATTCAAGATAACCATAATTAAAACCTATTTTGAATTAATGCCATTAAACACGAATATCTAATTACCCAAATAACTAAGTTTACAAACACACATGTTGTACGCATAGCAGTTAAGAACCATATCTATTTATCATTACATTTCCGTACTGTATTGTTTTCTTTACTTTAACTTAAACTTCTTAGGGTGTGGGGGGGGGCCAACTCCTTGGGAGGAGAAGAATAAACAAAACAAACACATAAATGGAGCAAGGAATAAGAAAAAATGTAAACTACAGAAAGAAAAATAAGAAAGAATAAAAGGAGAAGAATATCGAGTAGGAGAAATGAGTTTAATTAAAAAAGGATGTATTTCAAAAAAAAGAATAAGGGGGGACAGAGTAAAAAAGAAAATTAAAAAAAAAATAAAAGGACACAAATGTGGAGGGGGGGAAGAGAGAGAAGTATAACGGAATTTAAGGGAAGAAAACACTTCAACATTGAAAAAGAATAGGAGATAATGTGGGGAGAAGTAGAGAAAAATACACTTGCGTTAGAAAAAGAATGTTAGAAAAAGAAAAATGTACATGGAAGGAGGATAAAAAGGAGATAAGTGAGTAAAATAAAAATAAATATGAAAGGAAGGAAATTTAAAAGAACATGAAAGAAAGACTAAAATATTAAAGAAAACAAAGAGGAAAAAAAAACACTTGGAGATAATAGTTGAATAAATTTCAAGGAAGAAAAATCAAAGAAGGATGCCAAATATATATTTGTTTTTAACATAGAAATAAGAATATTAATAAATACACTAAAACATAAGAAAAAGAAAAAAAGAAAAGGACAAAGAAAACTTTACATTTAAAAACGAGGAGAAAAAGGGATAAAAATAAAAATAAAAATGAAGGAAATTCAACAAAGGAAAAGGAAGGAAAGAGTAAATTAAAAAAAGATAAGAAAGAGAAAAACAAAAGCACATGGAGATGATAGTTCAATAAATTTCAAGGCTGGAGAATGAAAGAAGGATACCAACAATATATTTTTAATACATATAAAGGAAAGGGTTAAAGAAGCAATCGATTAAAAAAAAATATTCTATGGTTTCTAAGTGTTAAGAGTACAATATTTGAGTGTGCCTGTGAACTTAAGTATTTGGATATCATACCGAAATAACACTTAACATTTTTATGCAAAAATTTAAAAAATATTAAAACAAAATCAACAAAGTCAATACACATGAACATCGCCTAAACTACTTGCCTACGTATTGTTCAAAGATCTTGGAGAAATAGCGAAAAGACTTCGTTTTTTTTCTTAGAGCACTGGCCCCAAACTCCTGAACTTCATAACAGTCATCTACATTCTCCAAGTTTTGCAGAGACTTTTCTACAACCCCTAAATCATTAACTTTTATTATAATTAATTCAAATGCATTTCTCATTCATGTCGAACAAATAAGTATGTATTTACTTAAAAAAAGAACCACGGTGCTACTTAAAAGAAAGTAAACATGGTAATTTATATTTCTGGTTACTCCAAAAATAAATTGTCGGAAACAAATTTTTAAAAACTTTGTCAGGAATTTCTTCCCCCACACCCAAACAAAAAAAAATTATATACCAAGATCAATTCTGCCACAGATTTCCACAAGATCCTCCTTATTCTGTTCACTCACATCT